TATATATATATATATATATATATATATATATATAGAATGGGTGTTCAAAATTGAACTAATTTAAAATAAAAAAATTGAAAAAATATTAAAACTTAATTTTTTTTTACATTTTTTAATCTTTTTTAATTGAGTTTATATGTTTTGGTGATTAAATTGTACTTACAATACGTTTATATTAATCAAAACATGATAACAGATTTACATTGTAATATTTAATCACAAGCTTATATGTAATATAGAATTCAAATCATAACATCACAGTCTTTATAAAAAAAATCGAACTTTATTTGACAATTTTTTATTATAGAATATTTAACAATTATTTTGTAAACTTTGTTAACAGTTTTATAATAACAATATCCATAAGGAAAACGACCCGTGTCAAAATTGTAAAATGTTAGTTTGGTTTAATTTGAATTTTTGTATTTGATTAAAATTGAATCAAAACTAAAATGCGTTTGATTTTTACGTTTAATTTGACTTACTTTTAAATAAAAAATCGAATCAAACATAACCATAAACTTTTAATATAAAATAACGATGTAAGACCTGACTTATTTATGTTAAAGATGTGATTTTAAAGTAAATTAAAGAATGAAAACTTAATTTTGTTTGAAAAAAATGTCTAAATAATTTTAAAAAACTTCATTCTATGCTTAAATTAAAATTTTACTTATTAAAGTAATTAATTCTTTAAATCTTCTATACAAGATTCTCTCCTCATTAATCATTTATTCTTTCAATATATTAAACTATTGTGGAATAACATGAGATAAAATAAGATATTATCTTAACATACTTGATTATAACAGGAGAGTTATCTTTGTTACCCTATGATATATGTTATTGCAAGTTAGGAGTGAACTAAAATAATGTTTCAGTTTTAGTCTAATGGGAAGATTGAGAAGAGAGAATAAAGAGTGATTTATATGCTTGTTTTGTAACTGAGTATTTGATTAATGAAACTTTTTGAGTAGTTTCTCAAAATTAAACATATCCCAATAGTTGAGTGAACTAATATAAAATGATATCTTTTTGTAATTTGTTAGATGATAAGTTTGTTAGTAAAATAAGAGTCTTGTTTTCTATTAAATTCTTCTTCTAAAGTCATTTTGTAACATTAAAATTGCAATGTTTTATTTTCTCATTAAGTTATTGTACTCTGTACTCACTATTATGATTATAAAGAACTACATAATCATCCTAAGTATCGTTATGCCTTAAATGATTACATTTATTAATTTCATATGTGCACAATTGAGATTAATTAGTGTTGTATACAATTGTGCATTTTCTCTACTTAATGTTATATTTATATAAGCATATATAAATGTTGTTTGGGCTGACACAAATATGTTGTTTGGGTAAGATGACCCTACTTAAGCGACTTATGTTCATTAAAAAAAGAAAAGACCATTTGCTCAAGCTATGAACCTATTGTGTGAGCAACATTATATATCACTTGAGTAAACTTATATCACTTAAGGAAATCTAGTTCTAGTGAAGAGAGAATTAATATGTTATCTCTCTCATCTCACCAGCTACTCATCACATAAGCAAACAAAACTCAAATAAGAAAAGATAAACATTAATTTTTCCCAACTCAAATGTACACAATTACTCGAGCAACATTATGTTGTATATGTCACCAAGACCTAGAGAACTCTTTAAAACTCTAGTTCTTCATTGTTTGAGTGGTCACTATGACACATGGATGACAATGATAAGTGTAAGAAATTATTAACATTCGATTATTAATTTTTCCCAACTCAAATGTACACAATTGCTCAAGCAACATTATGTTGTATATGTCGCCAAGACCTAGAAAACTCTTTCACTCTAGTTCTTCATTGTTTGAGTGGTCACTATGACACATGGATGACAATGATAAGTGTAAGAAATTATTAACATTCGATTATTATCTATCAAAACTATAGAATTACCAATTCAACCAAAATATGAATCATCAAAAGGAAAGAAAATAAACATTAATTTTCCCAACTTAAGTGTACACCATCGCTGGAGCAACATGACATTGCATATGCCATCAAGACGTAGAATACTCTCTAAAACTCCTATTCTTCATTATTTGAGTGGTCATTGCGATGCTTGGATGACAGTGCTTAGTCTGAGAAATTATTATCATCCAACTATTATCTATTCAAAACTATAGAAATAACAATTCAACCAAAATATGAATCATCAACTCTTAAATTGATCTTAAAATTTGGCTTAAGGTAAGTAATTCACATTCTAAAAATTATAATATCAATTACCAACAAGCTTATGCTATGTATCACTACAATTACATTAAGATTTTATTAAAAAAAAGAAAGAAAAGAAAAACAGAAAGGGATTACACTAAATCCATGATAAAATTACATTGTTCACATAGACAAATAATACCTATTATGAAAAAAGAACTAAAAAAGATAAAATAAATAGATGGAGATCACTTATATTATTCCTAACAATTTCCTTCACATAAAACATTTCAAACTTTGAATTCCATACACCTAGAACAAATAATATTAATAGATTTATTATTACACAATTCTTTTACATTTTAAAAATGGTCTCCAAAACTCATTAGTGATTTATAGAGTCCTTACTTGCTTTTAGAGATTTAGTATTGAGTTTCCTTAGTTTATTTCCTTGTAATTTGAATTTGCTCATAATCATCTTTATCATTAGAATCTTTTTTTCTTGTTAAGCATATTATTCCATGATTGCTCATAATCATCTTTACAATTAGAATTTTTTTCTTATTAAGCATATTAGTCAATTTAATACCAACTCAACTCCATAATAATATACACCATTTCAACTCCATAATAATTTACAACATTTCAGTTCATATAGATAAAATAATTGAATATATGTCATTAATCAACTCTATAGATAGCTTGCCTGACTAGCCACTTTTAGTATCCAAAAGTTTTCAAGTATAAGGTGATAAAATCTTCACAGCTTGAACCTGCACAATCAACATCTCCTATTCTTTAGGTTGCTTCTATGTTCTCATTCTTTGATTGATTAAGACAATTACTCTTTCAAACTAAAAAGAATGGACCGAATAAAAAATAGAATAATGAGTAACTTTGGTCAACATTTTGATAAAAAAAACTATCTTGATTTGTTCACTTTTGTTTTCTTGATTATGTAATATGATTAATGACAAAAAAAAATGACCGATTAACTAATACCTTAGAAAAAAAAAACTTAGAAGTGTAGAGAAATAAAATTGAAAATAAGTGAAGAATTAATTACTTTAATATAATTATAGATACTTTTTGAAAATATTTTTATTTTTAACTGTAAAATTATATCTCTTAACCTAAATAAAGTTGAACTTGGATAGAAAATAAGTTATATGTTAATTATCTTTATAATCTTTGAATTTTAATGCAAAATTAAAATTATGTGCGAAATTTAAATATATTTTTGCCTTCAAATTTTAAAAAACATGTTTTATAAGTCAAAACAATTTAATATAATTAAATTAAAAAATTATATTAATTTATTTTTAAAATTTGAAAACCAAGTTTCAAATATTAAATCAAATTTTAAAGTTCAATATGTACAATTGTCCTTAACAAATAAATTCCTTGATTTTTATAATAAAACAATACACAAATCATTCTAACATTAAACTAGTGTGTAAAATTGGATAGTATTATTCTCATAGTATAAAACCTATAACATTCTTCTCCATGTGAAATATTCAACCTACCTGTTCCTATCTTGCAACAAAGGAACATTATGGCATGGTGACTCCAAGTTCTCAACCCCTTTTGCAATCTCATTCTCCTCTTTCGATTTCCCCCACAATACAGCATAAAATCCAACCACGATTATAACCGCACCAATCAAACTGCAGAAAGTTCATCAGAAAATTTTATCACCAAACAAATTCAGGTGACATGCATCTACTTGTTGATAAGGAATTCTCTCCAATCTGTATCATTCAAATTTTACCTTCCAAGACTGAAATCATCTCCAAGAAAGATTGCACCCATGAAAGTGGTGAAAATGATTGCCACAGGTTTGAACATAGAACAAAACAGAGGACCTGCTTTAAGGACGCACCATGTGCATAGTAGGTAACGTATCATCGTTGCAACTATTGCCTATCCACAATATTAAGCATACCTTAAACTTTCTATAACAAATATTTTTCATACCAACCTTAATCATTTATAAAAGTTAAAGCAAAAACACAAATGTAAATGTATTTCAGTGTTTCAGTTTAATCTGGTTGGTTTTCATTTTCCACCTGATATAGAACGCCAATCAGCCCTATATCCAAGTTGAGCTTCCATTCAGTCGGATCCCTCACAGCAATTAAGGCAAATACTCCACACTGCACGGTTGAAGATAAGAGTTGGAAGAATACAATCACTGTTACAGCAGGGTATTTCTTTGCTACCGAAGCCTGAAAATTTAGCACCAAAAGGAAAAACTAACAAATCAACTGGTCTGATAAAATAACTTAAATTTCTTATAAACAAGAGTCAAGCCATTTTTCTTCATTGTAAAGACTAAAAAGTGTTTGATTGAAAGGGAAAAGCAACCTGATATATGTACCACATGGAAGTAAAAAGTGAATCTGCAATGCAGAATATCCCTCCTAAGATCCAATTTAGCTGTGCTGAAAATTGAAGGATTTGGTTAGAAAAGTTAGTCGAATGCGTCTTAAAGATGAGAGGACCCTTGTACAGTATCACAACAAATGCTCCTGCAATTGATGCTACTGTTCCTAACACTTTAGCTTGGCTGCTTGAGTTCCTCCACCGTACTTCTTCCATCCTAAACCAACCATTCAATTTAGAAAATTCTTGTAGAAACAAGCATCCTAATGTTTATAATTTGAGTAGCCAAAGTCACAATTAGTACAGCAAAAACAATAAGAACCTGAAAATGAGAGCAAGTATAAAAGTGAAAGCTGGAACGAGGTTAAGAAGGGCTGATGCAAGTGTCGGCGAGCTCAGTTCAATTCCAACATAAGCCATTATAGTTCCTGAACTCCTGCACAGTAAAAAGCTAAATCAGAAGATGAAGGCCCACATGAATGAATAGAATCCGACAAAAATAATTACATTATAAAAGACAAGCAAGGAATTCAAATTAATGATGAGGAAAACAAAAAATATGATAATCAACTAGCAAATTGCAAATAGAAAAAGTAACACTAACCCAAAGAATGCAAGCAGAAAGAAGCTGCAGAGTGCAGAGAACGTGAGAGGAGGACGTTCTGACCTACTCGATGGAAAAAAAAAGTAAAGATAAGGAAGGTGGGGGTGAGAATTATACAGAAGAATTTGTGTTAAACCTTGAAACAAAAATGGTGTATAATATGTTTTTCAATGTAAGAAAATGAGAACCTGTGGAGAAACAAGGCAAAGGGAAGAAGCAAGATTGTGGAGAGTGCAAAAGAGTAGACAACCATGACATATTTGTTGATATCATCAATCATGGCAACTTTGATTACCACCATGCTGCCACTTTGAGTTAGCATAGCCACCATCATTCCCACAAATGGCAGTAATTTTCCAGTTCCATTCCCCAATCTTGTCATTTCTTTCTAACTCTCTCTCAGCCACTGATACCTTTCTATCTCATATCATATCTTTTTTAGTCTCACCAAGTTTGCTTTATATAACATCAGTTTTGTATATCTTCTATATAACCACCACAAAACTACAAATGATAAAGTATTTCTCAAAATAAATAATTGACTCACATATTTAGTAATTCAGTTAAAGATGTCGGCAATATAATTTCACTTGTTTCTTTTTAAACAAAGTTTTGAATTTAATAATAGAAATAAATTTTCACCCATTTCTATATTATTATTATTTCAATCATCTATAGAAAAATAAAAATAAAGTGATTCTTTTTCTCAGTTTGATAGTTAAGTTGAATCAAACAACGTCTGCTTCACTCTTGCAGTTGTTTCTTCTTCCTTGCATTCACTCATCACGTTCTAGAAATTGGTGCAAAGTCAGATTACACTTAGCTTCATCCAACCCACCATCTAATTTTGTCACCTCAAAAATGTCATGTCATGTGCATGAAACGAAAAGGGTTAATAGGATGGTAGTATTTTTTAAGAAAGCGACAAGTAATTGATAATTATTTATACAAATACTAGCACAATTATTGTTAATGAAATCAAGAAGTACATGTATTATTACTCTTATTTTTATTTTCTTTATCTAGGATGAAAAATGAAAGTAACAAATATCAAATCAAATTATAAAATATTAAAATAAATAAAAAATATATAATGCAATATTTTTTATTAATAAAATTTAATTAAAAATATTTAAATTGGTGAAATAATTAAAATTTAATTAAATTAAAAATAAAATGCATATTTAAGAATGCATGACTGTGATTTTTTTTTTCACAAATAGCATACTATCACACTTTAATGAAAAAACAACACATTGTAGTTTTTATTTACTCATAACACATTTTTATTATACTAGTTCATAATCCCATTTTCAAATAACCGAATTTTAACCATGAATGTGGTGTTCCTATTTAAAAAAAAAAATGAAAAACATAGTCATATCAAATCATATTTATTGGTTCTCGAAAATCAACTTCTGAACTAGCAATAAAAATGTGCTGTCTAGATAAATAAAAACTACACTAAAAACAAAAGTGTGTGTAATACTTTTCATGTAAAAAATTCGCATTATTCATCATTTTAAAATTTCGTATAATGATAGGTTTCAGGTAAAAGCATGGGGCCTCGTCACCCCTCTCATTGTGGTGTTGCCTTCAATTAAAGTAGAAAAAGGACAAAATTACTTTTTGTTACTGCTGTTTTCTAAAATATAATTCTTTTGAGAAGAAAGGTTATATTCTTCTTTTAGACATTTTATCTTATATATGGATACTTTTACATGGTTGTGTAGATTTTTATTTATTAAACAATTATAGATATTCAAAAGTAAACATATTATTCAAAAAAGATTTAATTGAGAGATAATACATAACGAATATTATGCAAAAATATGTGTCAAAAAATAAAAATAAAAGTATCAATAAAAAATTAGTAAAAGAAAGAGACAAAGGAACATAAGTAAATTATTGAACATTTAATGATGGAGAATGTAAGGACTTAGAAAATAGATTATTAGAGTATATAGATGTATTAAAATAATGATATCAATATTTTATTATAAAATAATCTTATAATATAAATAAAAAATTTTAAAGCTCAGTTTATCATCTAAATACGTATTATCTCTCTAAAACATTGTTTCCTTTCCTTTCTTTGCCTTCTCTCTAACTTTTGTCACAATTGGAGTCTCTGATTGACGATCAGGAAGTGCTTAGACGATCCTGACATCAAAGACAACAATCTAGATCGATCAATTTCTTATTCTGGGTCGGTAAGTCGTTTTTCCCTTTCTCCCGTACGTTCTTGAACCTTGATCATGCAATTGTTTCTACTGCATGTGTATAGCAGTGTCTCTCTTTAATTCTCAGCTCAATTTAAGTTCTAAGAGTTGTTTTCTATCATCAATCGATGAATTGTAGGTTTCTGTTGAGTTTCCTTGCGGTGCAAGTTTCAGTCAGGGTTCTGTGAGCTGTGTAGAGCTTGAGTAAGGGAAGGGAAGCTGGATTTTCTCTATAATCATTGAATAATTTCTGTCATGTATATAGGTTATGTTAGTATTAGAGTTGTTGGACTGAAACTTGGATGATTTTGTTAGAATTCATGTATGCAATGTGGCTGTTTTGAATGTGCATGTTTGAAATGTGAAAATGTATTAAATTGGATGATATTTGGACTGTTTTAGATGCATGAGAAGTGTTAAATTTGTGTTAGTAGTGAATGGTTATGAATCAAAACAAGTGGTCTTAGTTTAAAGCTAATTAGAGGAATTGAAGTAGTGAAAATGAGAAATTGGAGTTGAGGGCTCAATTGATCTTTTGGGACAATTTGGGTAAGTCAAATGTGACTTGTTTGAGTCATCAAAATCATCAAAAACATGTTCAAAGTGGTAGATTGTGATTTGGGTCCCTAAGTTAGTAGGAATTGATTCATAAACACTTTAGATTGATGTTAGGAAGGTTTAGAATCACTTAGTCCAGTATAATTAGGTATATAACACAATCTAGGAGTGTTAGAAGTTGAAAAAAATAGATAAAATTGGTCATTGGGGTCTGAGTTGCATAATTCTGCAGATTTTCGTTTTGTAGATTTTCTTTCTGCAGATTATGCAGACTCGTTGAGCGAATAGATTTGCACAATGAGTCACCCTGGTGAGATGCTCTCTACCAGGGTATTCACACAACGAATTGGTGCGCTATGCGAATAGTTTGAGAGGTTTGCTCTCTGTCTGATGATTCGCATGGCGAATCAAGGCGCTATGCGCCTGGTTGGGGTCTGGGACTATTGCCATTTTTATTCGAATAACGAATAGGTGTGCTCTACGAGGGTTTGGGAAGTCTGAGCCACTACCTGGGGCTCTCGCATAGCGAATTGGGGCGCTATGCGAGGGGTTAGGGTCTGATACAGTTAAGAGTTTATTCGCACATCGAATTTAATCGTTGTGCGAATGGTTATGAAGGGTGGGTCTCTGTCTAAGGATTCACACAACGAGTTGGGTCGCTGTGCGAGAAACCTCTGGATTCGCTCTACGAATGTGTGTGTTGTGCGAATGGTCCAGGTTATTGTTCACCTTTTTATTTCTTGTATTCCTTGAACCTGAATGAATAATAATACATTCTAAAGCTTGCCTGATGTGTGAAATATGGTATATGATTTAGTATGATTATGAGTCATGTTCCAAGTAAAAGTATGTGATGTCAAAGTATGGTTGATGGGCGTAATTCCATGATCCTCAAGGAGAGGTTACATGATGGTGCCCTATGTTGTGATCCAAAGTGAAGTCTCTTGTTGAGGCTCAAGTATGTTTAGAATGAATGTAGGAGCTCATTCTTGGGGGTTATCCTGAAACTCTAATGATCTTTCATTCTCAAGTAGAGAGGATTGATCCATGTCATGAGGAGTAGCAGGAGGTCTTAGTCTTGTGGGCTTCCAGTATGCTCCAAGGCGTGGTACAGACTAACCTCGTGAGTGTGGTAGGGTGAAACCCATTGGCAACGACTTTGCAAAGCAGTAGAAGCCACCACGAGTGCACAACCCACCATAGCTCGATAATCATTCTAAGTCCAGACGGTCAAGTCTAGGTTATAACATGTTAGGATGTTTGAACTGGTTTATCTTGTCTATTTAATCTTAAGTATGTTATGTTGTGTAATTGGATAAATTCTTTTATATCTAGCTTATCCTTCTGTTTGTGATTGTGTTTTGTATATTTGGTGTTCTTCTTTTGCAATGATCACCTTGTGGGTGTGAGCAGCGGGAGAGGAGGTGTCTTTGGAGCAGACATTGGACGGAGGAGATGCTGTTGAGTAGTTAGTTTTAATTTAATCTTGTTAGTTTTGAGTATCCTATTATGTATATAAAGTTTTAAATTTTATGGTTATTTTGGATGATTGTAAAGTTAATACTTTATTTATTAGTCTCTAATTGTTCTATCTTATTATTTTTGTGACTACTATTATATAATTTATGACTATATTTTGGAGATGTTAGTGAGAAAATTAAATTTGTCTAACCCGAAAATGTTTCAAAAACTAAATATTTAATTGTATGTCTGTAATTTCGAACTTCTATAATATAAAAAGAATATAGATAATACTAATATAACATCCTAATTACCCATACTCTTTTTAATAACTTGTGGTCGTAGTTTCTTTAAAACTCTTCAATATCTAGTATTATTAACATTAATAATATTATATTTTTTTTTATATAGATTCTAACATTACTTACTGATTCTCGCAATAAATGATACATATTTCTAGTTTTATTTAATTAATTTTTGTTACAAATCTCAATAATTAATGTATATTTATATACTCATACTGGATTGTAAATAAGATAATGCCGTTAAGTAAAATAATTCTCTCTTCTGCATAGTGAGTTATAAGTTTGCTTAAGTGGGGAATTAGTGGTGGTAGATGAGATTCTAAAACTATGTCACCAAACAATTTTGTGGCCACCCTCAAGTGTCTGATAATTGTTAGATAATTACACTAGTAGAAAAACATAATAACATAATTTTATAGTGATTTAATTTTTGTGACAGTTGTAATATACTTGTCATAAGAAATAATATGTAACATTTTCATAATAAAATTTAAAATATATTATACAATTTTAAATTCAATTGTTATAATAAGTGGTACGTATATTTTAAATATATTATAAACTTTTGTGCCTACCTTTAGATGTTGTTCTTTAATTATTCATATTAGAATGAATTGATTGATTTCCTATTTTGAGATAATGATGGTGAAAGTTGTAAAATGGATATTTTATAATATATGTATAATGATTGGTTATGAGTACGAAAGTTGTAAAAGCGTTATAAGAATATATGACTATTGATTGTGTTATTGAATACTTTATTATAATATTTGTTTTGGATAAGATACTGAGATTTTGACTTCAAGTTTTTTGAAGATTGGACAGGTTTAATGCTTAAGTCAATTATTTTATGTAATAATGTTTAATAAAAAAATAGTATTTATAATTAGTTATCTA